GTTCTTGGGCACGCACATACTCGTGCCTGGCGTGAGTTTTAAGCCACCGGGTCCGGGACGCGAACCGTGGTCGACTACGTAGGAGTCCAGCGACATAGCCATTACGCTAACTGCTGGTTCCCCCCCCCTTTTTTTTCCCCCAGGTTGGGGTTTTGATAGTTACATTTGTCTATTTTTGATAGTTATATTTTCCTGTTTTTTAAAAAAGAATTATTTCATCTAACGTTTTTATTTACTTGTTTTTTTTATTTGACCGGAGAGGGATAGAGCAAGAGAGAGAGAGAAAGTCAAAGTGGGAAAGCAAGCTGCCGGGTCCAAGATTCAAACTGTGGTCAGCCATGTGGGAGTCCAGAGCCCTTAACCACCACACCACCTGCCGGCCCTACATCTGCCTATCTAATCCACACCCCTGTCAAGATATGGAACTTTTCCATCTCTCTAACAGAGTCACTTGTGCCTCTTCCCAGTCAGCCTCAGTTCCACCTTTTCCTTCCCTCTCTAAGCAGCCTTTCTAGGATTCTGATTTCAGTGAATTTGTGTTTCCTGTTTGAGAACTTAATATAATGGAATCATACAGTCGAGTTGTATGAATGCTACGAGGCATGTACACTCAACGGAGAGAGACAGGGTGAACAGAGGACACCCTCCGTGGGAGATGGGTATGCTGCAGTCCCTTCTCCTCTGTCTCTCCCTCCTTTGAGAATTTTGGGCATGCATGCACCTGTATCCTGTATGTTCCTCAAGCTGTAGGTCTAGCACTCACAGCCTTTGGTACAATCTGGCTGCCTTAGCCACTAGGCCACAGAGCTGGCCTCAGTTAGAGTCTTTTGACATATTTTTTCAATTTGCCAAACCTGTTTCATCATCTCTAATGTAGGCAGAGAGCAATCATGCCACTTGAATATGGTCATTTGAATTAAATGAAATAATGCATGTGAAAACCCTTTGTAGACTCTTAAATGCTACACAGCTGTCCAGTTACTGCTCTTGTTCTTTGAACTCATCATCCTTTCAGTCTGCTAGAATAATGAAGTAACTTCTTTTGTTTTTTTTGTTCTTTTTGATTATTTTTGCTATCGCACCTGTGTACTCACCAGAGAGACAGAGACAAAAGGCGAGAAATCATTCCCCAGGGGGATGGCCATGCCACAGTCCTTTCTCTTCCATTTCTCCTGTCGGGATTTTGGGTACACGTGAAGATGCACCTGGCATGTGTTTCTAGCTGCTGGGTTTGGGGCTGGAACCACGGATGGCAGTGTGGGAGTTCAGCACCTTAACCACTACGCCATTTGTTGGCCTCTGAAGTGACTTCTGTGAATAACAATAATACCTTGTACTTTAATTTTATTTGTTAGACACCCTGTGAGGGTGGGTTGTGATTCCATTTTACAAACAAGACGTAGACCCAGAGAGGTTCAGTGATTTGCCTCTGGTCACATAACCATGCACGATGGATCAGGAACTAGAACCTACATGTTTTCTGCTGTCGTGGAGGGTTCTTTCCAGTAAACCATGTAGTATCAGCATAGTAGTATTCACTAAAACTAAATTGTTCACTGTCTTAATCATGGCTTTATTTGATTTATCATAAGTATTGAGGTGATCCTAGCCTTATCCAGATTTGGGAGGGTGAGTCTGTCTCCCACCTCCAACTCTGAGTTGGGCCAGAGTCGCTCTGGTTTCCCTCCCGCCCTTCCTCGTATCCTAGCTCTTTGCCTTCTCCCCTCTCAGACTCTGCGCTGGTGTTTGAACCTGGGCATCCTGGAGGTGACAGTCTATGCATTCAGCATTGAGAACTTCAAACGCTCCGAGAGTGAGGTAGAAGGGCTGATGGATCTGGCCCGGCAGAAGTTCAGCCGCCTGCTGGAAGAACAGTAAGATGCTGCCAGAGGGGAAACGTGCTCTTCCATCACCTCCAGCCTTACCCTAACCCTCACAACCCTGGTATCTCTAAGGCTTAAAGGGACTCAGTTCTTTTAATGTTAGAGCTCTTTGGCAGCAAATATCAGAAAATGTAGTTTTTCTTTCTTTCTTTTTTTTTCTCCAAAGGGGGCATTTATTTGAGGATATTGAGGGATTTCATAGAATTCAAGGATGAGTATAGCCAGACTCAAGCAAAACTGTACCAGGAATTAAAATCGATTAGGTAGAGCCTCTTCATACTTTCACTTCCTTCCCTCTCCTCAGACTAGCTTTCTTTGCTTCAGAACAATAGCCACATAGAAACTAAATCACTTAACCAGCCGGTCTTCATTCAGGTGTCTATGCCCAGCTTAATAAACGGTGGCCAGGGAGTGAAAGGAAAGGAATGGGGAGGAAGTCACTTTCCGCTGCACGCAATCCCTGAAAAGTGACCGCACTTGCCTTGCAGTCTCTTGGGAGGGACAGGGGATGCCTAAGTGGCCATTAGGGGAAGTATGAGTGTGTAGCTTCAGTACTGCTCTCAGGTGTCGCTAAGTTTAGGCTTTTTTTTTTTTTTTTTTGAGAGGGGGCACGCACATGCTCCTGGTGTGAGTTTAAGCCACCGGGTCTGGGACTCAAACTGCGGTTGACTACATGGGAGTCTAGCGACGTAGCCATTACGTCAACTTCTGGTCTCTAGGCTGATTATTTATTATTTTTAAGAATTATTTTATTTAGAGACCAGCAGTTGGCATGATGGCTATGTTGCTGGACTTCCATATAGTCAACTGCAGTTCAAGTCCAGACCCGGTGGCTTAAACTCACGCCGGGCATGTGTGCGCGCATGCCCAAAATCCTGAGAGGAGAATGGAGGAGAAGGGATTGTGGCATGGCCATACCCCCTGGGGGGTGATTTCTCGCTTTCTGTCTCTCTGTCTCTCTCTGTCTGTCTGACGAGCGCACGCGCCCTATAGCAAAAACCTCTCCCCCCCTAAAAAGAATTATTTTGTTTATCTTTATTTATTTATTTTAATTGACTAGAGAGGGAGAGGGACAGAGAGAGAGAAGAAAAAAGGGAAAAACCAAGCCGCCAGGTCTGGGACTCAAATCTCAGTCATCTATGTGGGAATCCAGTGACCTTAACCACCACGCCACCTGTCAGCCCAGTTTAGGCTTATCTAAGGGAACAAAGCTAGTATGGGGCAAAGAAGAATTTTTTAAAGAGAGAGACCTGCTTGCCAGAGAGAGAAAGCGAGAAATCACCCCACTTGGGGATGACCATGCCACAATCCCTTTCCTTCCATTCTTCTGTTGGGATTTTGGGCACACACACACCTCTTGCATGAGTTTTAAGCCACCAGGTCCGGGAGTCAAACTAGTCAGCCATGTGGGAGTCCAACATCTTAACCACCATGGCACCTGCTGGGCCTGGAGAGAGTTTGTTTTGTTTTGTATTTGTTTTTTTTTCCCTAGGGCACTTGCCCTCGCCAGAAAGATAGAGACAGAAAGCAAGAAATCACTCCCCGGGGGGATGACCACACTGCAATCCCTTCTCCTCCATTCTCCTCTTGGGATCTTGGGCACGCACGCACATGTGCCCGGCATGAATTTAAGCCACCGGGTCTGGGACTCGAACCGCAGTCAACCACATGGGAGTCCAGTGACATAGCCATTATGCCAGCTGCTGGTCCCAGAAAGAGGAATTTTGATGGAGATTGTTTGCTTTCAAGCATGGGGTTCTCATGATCTAGAATTGCCCAGAAACTTCCTTACAACTGTTATCTGCCCGACAACTGTGCACACCAGGACTAGGAAGATGAGCGAATGGAGACGGCTAGAGTTCGGGCATAGATGGGCCCGAGCACCAGCTGGGAAGTGGGTCCGTCACTTCTGTCCCTGTGTGGGCCAGCTGATGGGAAGATAGCCAGGCTTTTCTTTGTCCATATTGGGACAGTGTGACTCTGAGCCACAGATTTTGTTCCTTGTCCCTAGCAGACCTCATGTGGCTTAGGAGTTCACACCCAAGAAGCTGGGAGTGGAGGCATGCGGAGCACACCCCAAGTGTTGGGATTCTTCTGTACCACGCACTAATCTTAGCTTGTTTGTTTGTTGTTGTTTTAGGTTTCTTGCCACAGGTCATGTGTACTTGCCACCGAGAGACAGAGACGGAGAGAGGGCAAATGAGAACTCACTCCCCAGAAGGGATGACCACACTGCAATCCCTTTCTTCTTCATTCTGCTCTTGGGATTTGGGGCAAGCACGCACATACGCCCAGCGCGATTTTGAAGCCACTAGGTCCAAGACTTAAACTGCGATGGGCCATGTGGGAGTCCAGCACCCTAACAATCATGCCATCTTCTGTCCCCAGTCAATAACTTTTTATAGGTGCTTACTATGTGCCATCCCCCAGTCTTAGAAAGTACTTTCATGTAATAGCCGCATTGTCCCATGAGAAAGGTGCTATGAACCCAGTTTCAGAGAGGAGAAAAGTAAAAGCCAGTGATGTTAATGCTTGTATCCTGGTTCACACAGCTATCAGACAGAGCCAGGCGCACACCGGGGCTTTCTGACTGCCACGCTGAGCTTCTGTCCCTACACTGTGCCCTGAGAGATGGGCATCTCACAATTCCTGCTCCAAAGTCCATGGCAGTAGGGCTGCTGCTGAGACCCCTCCGGCTGGTCAGTAGGAGAGACAGTCTAGCCTATCACAGAGCCCTGGCCAGAGCAAGACGAGGCCTCAGCAGTGCTTTTCCAACTACGTGCCACAGGACCACGTAGTTACAAGGAGTGGGCATGGAAAGAACCCACTAGGACTGGAATATAGGATGCTTGTTTGCATTTACCTATTTTATTAGGGTGTCTGAAAAGTCACGATGTAGTTTTTTTTTTTTTTTTTCTTTTTTTGGAGAGGTTTTTTGTTATAGGGCACATGCGCTCGCCAGACAGAGAGAGACATAGAGACAGAAAGCAAGAAATCACCCCCCAGGGGGGATGGTCACGCCGCAATCCCTTCTCCTCCATTCTCCTCTTGGGATCCTGGGCATGCATGCACACGCGCCCAGCGTGAGTTTTAAGCCACCGGGTCCGGGAGGTGAACTGCAGTCGACTACGTGGGAGTCCAGCGACATAGCCATTACGCTAACTGCTGGTTCCCATGATGTATTTTTCTATGCAAGAAGATTTCATGACTTTTCTAGCCATCAATAAATATTGGGCTTTTTTTTTTTTTTTTTTTTTTAATTTTTAAAAGAGGTTTTGGAGGCCTGTAGGTGGTGTGGTTAGGGGCACTGGACTTCACATGGCTGACCACGGTTCAAGTCCAAGACCTTGCTTTCTCACTTTCCCTCTCTCTCTCACTCTGTCCCTCTCTGGACAAATTTAAATAATTAAATAAAGTTAAATAATTCTTTAAAAAAAAAATTTTTTTTTGCATTAGGGCATGTGCACTTGCCGGAGAGAGAAAGAGACAGAGACAGTGAGAGAGAAAGTGAGAATCCACCTCCCATGGGGAATGACCACACTGCAGTCCCTTCTCCATTTTCCTCTTGGGATCTTGGGCACACACGCACATGCACCCAGCACGAGTTTGAAGTCCCGGGTGGTCGGCCATGTGGGAGTTTAGCAACGTAACTGCTATGCCATCTGCTGGCCCCTATGTGAGGTTTCTTTATAGATGAGATTTGAACAAGGAGTTCTTTGGCCAAAAGAAAGTCGGAAAAGCCCCACCTCACTGAGTGTCATCAGTTCTAGTGAAGAGAAGAGCCTGTCCTTGGTCTCTCAGCAAGCTAGTAGCAGGGCTGGGTTAGGAACCTAGACCTCCTGACTCCTCTGCAGACCTCACCGAAGTCCTGCCTGCTGTGTGCACATAAGCACTCTCACGTACCCGTTCTCACTTCACACGAGCCTGTGAGGGTAGTATGAGGGATGGTTGTCACCCCTAGTTTACAGGCATACGGGGTGGGTAGAGACTGAGGCTCAGAGAGTCTAAGTGTTTATGCAAGGTCCAATAGTAGGCGAGGCACTCAGACTTGAGTTTAGCTATTCCTGCTTATATCTTGCCTCAATTTGACTATACATTTGTCTACTATAGTGCCAGCAGATTCTCAAAAAGAAGTGATTGGATCTTGCTGCAGGAGCCTTGAGGGGATATGGAGGAGGGCTATGTAGGGTGGGTAGGCCGTGGCCTTCAGCTCTGGGTCGAGGCCCTCTAGGACCTGCCAGGTCTCCCCAGCCCACAGCACACCTCTCAGTGGTCGGCTCCCACTTTCTAAACATGAGGCATTCAGGTTTTCCGTGGCATTCCCAGGTGAGGGAAGCTGGGTGAGTAAAGCACATTCGCTCTCACTGTACGCAGGGTTTGGGGCTTACTGTGTGGAAGGAGTCTAATGCCGCGATTAAGGGACAGGCTCTCGTGGCAGACTTCCTAGGTTCAAATCTGGTTCTCTGTTCACCAGCTGCCTGAACAAACGAGCTAACCTCGTGTACCCCAGTGTTCTTGCTCGTAGAAGGGGAAGAGTAATAGTCCGTCCCAGAGGTTGGTGTCAGGACCGTGCTGGCTCAGGTGACACACTTATTCCAGTGCCCGGCTTGGTAAATGTACAGTTAGCGAGGGGTCGTGATTATCGTCCTTCACCAGAATGGAAACAGCAAAGTAACTCCGCTCCAGCCGTTGAGCTTACCGAGCTTACGGGTGTCAAACAGAACAGTGAGCTGAACTGCAGCTTGCTGACCAGGACAGGAGGCCATGTCCTGTGTGGTCAAGGGTCTCAGTCTTGACACGGCATTTGATGACCGCAGCCCTGGTGGTCCAGTCCCACTCACCTTCCTAGCCCCCGTGCTGTCTGACCGTCCTGTCCGCGCCTGCAGTCCTCTCAGGCTTGCGGAGGGATGCAGCCATACACGTGGAGGAGTGCCCGGCACGGAGGAAAGCGCTCAGAAGCCGGAGTTGTCTGATCCGAGCACCGTGCTTTCCCTGGCTCAGCAGGTACTTGTCCCATCCGGCCTCCTTTTCCTGGCCAGGGAGAAGCTGCAGAAGTATGGGGTGTGTATCCGGGTCCTGGGTGATCTGCATCTGTTGCCCTTGGATCTCCAGCAGCTGATTGCACAAGCTGTGCAGGCCACTAAGAACTACAACAAGTAAGTTCCGGTCTCCCCCAGGGACCTGAGTCCGTGACACCCGCCGGCCCCAGGGAGACATCGAAGACCTTCCTTGCTCTGCACTTAGTGCAAGAAGCAATGAGGGAGTGGTGTGGGAGGCTTAAGCGACGTCCTCGTGCCGTCTGCAGGGCGGCCCAGACAGTTCTGCAGCCCTGCTGTACCCGTGCAGGCTCACATGCAGCTTCCCGTCCACTGCCTGCTTCACATGCCCCTCTAAGTGTACAGAGTTTGTCTTTTTACATAACGAAGGGGTGGTGTGTGGGAAGGCAGTAGTCCTGATCCCTGTCTCTCTGAACACAGATTCTCTTTTTTCTTTTAATTTTTAATTTTTTTTTTATTTTAATGTGCTCTAAGGCGCCTGCACTCACCACAGAGAGGCAGAGAGAGGGAAAATAAGAGAGCCCACACCATAATCCTTTTCCCTCTTGAGAGTTTGGGCACACATGGAGGCCTAGTGTGTTTTTCAATCCCACGGGCATCCAGGACTCAAACTAGAGCCAGCCGTTTCCACAGCACCTGGCTGGCCCTGAAAGTAGGTCCTTTAGATGTGACATTGGAATGCACCGTGCTTGGCGGTGGGCTTGCCCTGCATCAACTCTTCCTGTTCTGTTCTGCTTGTGCTGGTTTCACAGAGGACTCCCGTCTCCTGCAAGCTGGTTAGCAGTAGAGGGTCGGAGGGCAAGAAGGGTCATTTAGTACATTGTCTTATAAAACTAATAACATGTTTACTCCAAGAAAACAGCACCAAAAGCTCAGAATCTCAGCTTGTAGAGCTATCCTCAGGTAACATTTAGGGTGTGCTTATTCCTTTAGGGGAGGGCGCCCTGTCATCAGTGACTCCACCAGTCCTTGTGCCTTTTGGTAAAGGACTCTGTTCTTCCCTCAGGTGTTTCCTAAACGTCTGCTTTGCATACACCTCCCGTCACGAGATCAGCAATGCTGTGAGAGAGATGGCCTGGGGTGTGGAACAAGGCCTGCTGGATCCCAGGTACCCTGAGTGGTTTCATGCTAACGGGTAGAGAGCAGGTGTGCCCCAGGCTTCGCACCCCCTCTCGTGCTGTTTACTTGGCCAGAGGTCAAATCAGGGATGCATGTGGAGAGATTTGGGGGAATTCCCCACACTTAAGGGTTGGGTTATTATAGCCTGCCTCAGAACTTGCCTCAGTTTACCACACACTAAGAACCTCAGAGAAGCAGCAAAGTGGGTCCCAGGGCTGTATCATTCAATGAAAAATGACATCCTCCCGGGGCCAGCAGGTGACTCGGTGGTTGAAGTGCTGGACTCCCACATGGTCAACTGCCATTCCGTCCCTGGACTCAGTGGTCTGGGGACCACAGCGTGTGTGCGGGCTCAGGGTCCCAGGAGGAGACGGGGGGAAGGGATTGTGGTATGGCCGTCCCCTGTGGGGTGTAATTTCTCACGCTCCCTTTCTGTCTCTCACCAGTGAGCTCATGTTCCCTATAGCAAAAACCTAAAAAAGAAAAAAGAGGAAAAGACCTCTTTTTAAATTAAAAAAAAAAAAAAACCTTCTTGGCCCTTTTGCACTGTTTTTTCAATAATGTTTTTTCAAGAATTTACTTTGTTGCAGGTAGAGTCTTTTAGGCCCCTGTGTTAGTTTCATACAAGAGTAAGGTATTTTTCAGGGCCAGCAGATGGGGTAGCAGTTAGTTAGGTCACTGGACTCCCACACAGCCGATTGTGGTTTGAGTCCTGGACCCAGTGGCTTGAAAATTATGCCAAGTACATGTGCGTGTGTGCTTGAGATCCCAGGAGGAGAAGGGATTGCGGTGTGGCCAACCCCCCTGGGGAGTGATTTCTCGCTTTCTATCTCTGTCTCTCTCTGTCTTTCTGGCGAGCGCACACGCCCTATAGCGAAACCTCCAAAAAAATAAAAAATAAGTGTGTATTTCCTGACTCATGAAACTCTGGTAAAGGAAACAGACACTAGTAAAGATTACACTATACACATTATGTATAAGACCTATATTAAACATATATAGTGTATAATAAGACATTTTCCCTCCCTGGCCAGTGCGCGCCCTATAGCATCATCATAGTTATGACAACTGTTATAAAGGCATTGGTGCAAGGGACACGAATTTCTTTTTCTTTCTTTCTTTTTTTTTTTTTGTAGAGGTTTTTCTTTTTTGCTATAGGGTGTGTGCATGCGCCAGACAGACAGAGAGAGGCAGAGAGACAGAAAGCGAGAAATCACCTCCCAGTGGGGATGGCCACGCTGCAATCCCTTCTCCTCCGTTCTCCTCTCAGGATCTTGGGCACGCACACACACGTGCCCAGTGTGAGTTTTAAGCCACTGGGTGCGGGATGCAAACTGCGGTCAACTTCATGAGTGTTCAACGACACAGCCATTATGCTAACTGCTGGTCCCAGGGAAAAGAATTTCTAATAAGAGGCCCATTTGCGGTTGCCCCGCAGTAGGGCCTCCTGTGCAATGCTGGAGCCAAATGGAAGGGCTGGATCAGATCCTGGGTTGACCTGAATATACCAGGTACACCTGGGATCCTGCCTGGGAGGCTGGGGAAACATCACAGCATAGCAAGACTATTTTGGAGGTTTCTCTTTTTCTCTGTCATGAAAGATAGAAACTTAAAAAAAAAAAAAAAAAAAGATGGCAGGAGAATGGAGAAGGGATTATGATGTGGCCATTCCCCTCAGCGGGTGCTTCCTCTCTCTGTTGAGTGCATGTTTCCTCTAGCAAATTAAAAAGAAAAAAAAGTGGGACCAGCAGATGGCATAATGGTTATATCGCTGGACTCCCACATAGTCAACCATGGTTTAAGTCCCTGACCCAGTGACTTAAATCTCATGCCAGGTGTGTGTATGCGCTTGCCCAAAATCCCAAGAGGAGAATGGAGTAGATGGGATTGTGGCATGGCCATCCCCACTGGGGGGGGGGTTCTCACTTTCTGTGTCTCTGTCTCTCTCTGGTGAGGACATGTGCCCTATAGCAAAAATCTCTCAAAAAAATAAAGTATAGGGACCAGCAGTTAGCGTAATGGCTATGTCTCTGGACTCCCATATAGTCGACTGTGGTTCGAGTCCCGGACCTGGTGGCTTAAACTCACACCAGGCACATGTGCATGTGTGCTCAAGATCCCTGGAGGAGAATAGAGTAGAAGAGATTGCAGCGTGGCCATCCCGCCGGGGAGTGATTTCTCGCTTTCTGTTTCTCTCTCTGTCTCTGTCTTTCTGGCGAGCGCACATGCTCTGTAGCAAAAACCTCTCTAAAAAAATAAAAATAAAAATAAAATTAAAAAAGTATAATGAGAGGAATGGACCCGGTAGGGAATTTTTCCTCCAGAAAATGATAAGCAACATCAGAAGGAAGAATAAATCATAACTAGGGAAAAAGGCAGAAATGTGAGGAGCTTCTTGGTTGCAAGAAGACCATTAGAATAATTCAATAGAGAGTGCCTAGAAGAAAGCTTGGAGGTGGTGGATTTGGGATTTGGACTTATGCAACACTGGGTAGCGCTGCCTTCACTGTGCTAGGGATCCCTGGAGAGGAACCGGTTTAAGGAAGGGAGCGAGAAACTTGGTCTTGGGTTTACTGGTAGTCCCCAACCTACAATGCTTCAGCTTACTATTTTCTACTTTACAGTGGCCTTGTTTGGGATTTTTGTTTTTCTTTGTTTTGTTTTGGTAATTTTTGCTCTAGGGCACCTGCGTTCCCCAGAAAAAGAGAGAGAAAGTGAGAAATCACCCCTCCCCACACACAGAGAGGGCCATGCCACAGTCCCTTATCCTCCCTTCTCTTCTTGGAATTTTGGGCACACACGCATGCACACAGCATGTTTTTCAAGCCTCTGGGTCCAGGACTTGAACTGTGTAGTCAGCTGTGTAGAATCCAGATGTCTTAATCACCACGCCACCAGGTAGCCCCATTATCAGGGTATTAAACACATTTTTTTTGGCTCAGCTGAAGTAATTCACTGGACGCTGATGCTTGGAAGGCCGAGGCCACAAGGGAGACTCAGGTCTGATTCCCCACCCACCCTGAAAGGTAGGCACAGTGTTAGATGCATATTGTCCCAGATGCTCAGGGAGTGCTCACTTTCCCTCTCTCTGTCTCTCTCTCTCCTGTGAATACATGCACCATGTAACAAATTAAAACAAAATAAGTGTTATGTTTGTCTTTTTAAAAATTTTTTTGGAGAGGTTTTCGCTATAGGGTGCGTGCACTCGCCAGAAAGACAGAGAGCCAGAAAGACAGAGAGACAGAAAGGCGAGAAATCACTCCCCGGGGGGGGGGGGGGGGGGTGGCCACGCCGCAATCCCTTCTCCTCCATTCTCCTCTCGGGATCTTGGGCACGCACGCACACACGCCCGGTGTGAGTTTAAGCCACTGGGTCTGGGACTCGAACCGTGGTCGACTACTTGGGAGTCCAGTGACATAGCCATTACGCCAACTGCTGGTCCTATGTTTGTCTTTTTAGACTTAGTTCTTTTTTTTTTTTTCTCCCAAGAGATTTTTGCTATTGGGTGTATGTGATTGCCAGAGAGAGAGAGAGACAGAGGGAAGGAAAGTGAGAAACCTCCCCCTCTGGGAGGGATGACCATGCCACAATCCCTTTTCTTCCCTTCTCCCCAGGATTTTGGGCACACATGTACACACACACATGCTTGAGTTGTAAGCGACCAGGTCTGGGACTTGAACCATGTTCGACTATGCAGGAGTCCAGTGACGTAACCACTACGCCATCAGCTGGTCCCTAGACTTTGTTTTTTGTTTGTACACATGAACGAGTGTTTGAGAGTGTTTCACACTGTGTATTTATGAAACTTGCCTTTTTCATTTAAGATTATATGTTGGGCATCTTTTCAAAATAACAGATTTATCTTTATTAAAGAAAGTTACCTAGGGTTACATCAAATTTTTGTGTAAAAAGATATATGCATTTTAGAAAACAAGATGTTTTAAGTAAGGACAACATGTGGTCTAGTGGATGTACCTGGTTTTAGGCCTGAACTAAATGACTTCGGATAAACTATTCATCCTTCTCTGAGCTTCAGTTTCCTTATTTATAAAATGAGGAGGACCAGCAGGTGGCGTGGTGATTAAGGCACTGGACACTCCCACATGACCAACTGTGGTTCGAGTCCCAGACCTGGTGGCTTGCTTTCTTACTTTCTCTCTCTCTCTCTCTGCTTCTCTCTGGTCAAGTTAAAATGAGTGAATGAATAAATAAAAAGTTAAATAAATAATTCTTTTTAAAAATACAAGGATAGAAATAACTTCTATAGTTATGAGGACTGAACATCATTCACTAACTTAGCATGCTTTTGTTAAGGGCCTTCTGTGTTCCAGGCAGTACTAGCCAGTGTATCTGATGGTGAACTAGGGTGGGAAGTCTCACATATGGAGCTCATCATAATACCACAAAGACGGATGTGTTTCTCTTTGTCTGTTCTCGCTTACTTCAGTGACATCTCTGAGTCTCTGCTTGATAAGTGCCTCTATACCAACCGCTCTCCTAACCCTGACATTTTGATACGGACTTCCGGGGAAGTGCGGCTGAGCGACTTCTTGCTCTGGCAGGTGGGTAGTTCTGTTTGTGTTAGGCTGGAAACTGTGGATCACCCCCTCTCCTAGCCATGCTGGGACCATGGAACTGGGGGTGGGGAGCTAAAACCTGGAGAATGGCTCCAGGCTGTTCCTGATGAGATCTGCTCTCCCTTCCTCATCTGTCCCTGGCTTTGTGAGCCTGTGTGGTTCTCTTGAAAGTGCAAGGCATCTAGAGGGAAAACCAAGGCCATCCATCTGTACTGAAAGTTTCCCTCGTGCCCTTGTACAAGGAACAAGACCTTGGCCATGCATCTCTGAGCATAAGCTCCTGCCGTGGTGACCTGCCACGGACCCCGACACCCCTAGGCCAGAACCTCGCTTTGCAGTTTCTAGTCTCTCCCCATCACAATAAGGGGCTGCAGCTCAGCAGGTGTGGGCCTGGGGGGATGTAAAGCACGTGTAGACTCTGTCCTGGGCGTGCTGCTGTTGCCTCTTAGCTCAGCTACCCCAGCACAGGCAGGCCTCAAGTCCTCTATCGAGGGGCTAGACACTGGCACAGCAAAACACGATGCTCTGCGAGAATGACCCGCATGAGAAGGTTGCACATTTGCATCCGGAGACCGCCTTCAGTGTGCAAGGCTAGCTGGGGGTGGATCATGCATCATAACGTGGTGGGGATGCTGGTTCTCTCTCACAAGGGAGAAATAAACTTTTAAAAACTAAGAAATAGGGGGCAGAAGGTGGGACTCCCACATGGCTGATCGTAGTTTGAGCCCTGGACCCGGTGGCCTGACAGTCCCACTGTGCACGTCTGCATCCATGCTGAGTCCTGAGAGGAGAATGGAGGAGAAGGGATTGCTGCGTGGCCATTTCCCCGGGGAATGATTTCTCACTTTCCCTCTGCTGTCTTTTAGGTTAGTACACCCTCTGGCCAAAACCTAAAATAAATAAATAAATAAGATATAAAAACTGGGGCCAGCAAATAGCATGGTGGTTAAGGTGCTAGATTCCACATAGGTGACCCTAGTTCAAGTCCCAGATCTGGTGACTTGAAAATCACTCTGGGTGCATGTGCATGCTCATGCATGCCCAAAATCCCAGAAGGAGAATGGAGGAGAAGGGATTGCAGTGTGGCCGTTTCCCCGGGGGATGATTTCTCACTCTCTTACTCTCAGTCTCTCTCCAGTACAGCGAATGTACACACCCTATGGCAATAACCCAAAAAAGAAGGAAAGAGAAATGTAAAAAGCAGACCTTTGTTTTAGAAGCAAAAAACGCTCACACATTTATTTGGGGTTGATAATCCCTAGACCCTGTCAGATTGGCCCTTGGTAGTACCTGACTAGGGGAAGATGTCACTCAAGGAGAGGTGGATGGGACAGACTCAGCTTGTCAGCGGCTCACATGCGACGCCTCCAGAACAGCTTGTGAACCTCAGTCTAAACATTGTGCTAGCTGTCAGCTACTGAAGGCCCTTAGTCTCTGGCTGCCCTGAGACAGGCATGGTATGTACCCTCATGGCCCACTCTGCTCGGATCCCATCTGGAAAGTGTGTTTCTCAGCACCGAGCCCAGGAGACCACGCTGGTAGACTAGAGGACTCAGCAGTTGGGCCACCTAGACAGCAAGGAATGCGCAAAGGACAGTGGTCTGGGGAAGCAGGCAGGTGAGTTTATTCCCTCAGAAAAAACATGTTGACCTCCTCTTCTGTGTGGGAAATACTGCAGTGATTAGTCAGAAATAATCCCTACTGTCTTGAAACTTAATAGTTTGTTGGCAAAGACAAACTTTGAACAAGTCGTTACAACCTTGGCAACAGATAACAGGCAGCCCTAATCTCTCCTTCAAATATTTGAAAGAATGTCACTTTGAAGAAGAAACAACTTGTTCCAGAGAAAATACCTGAGACCTTGGTGGGAGTTGCGGCAAGGTGACATTGGTCCAGCATAACAAGCTATCCGGCAACTTAAGTTATCCCCCATGAGGGACCGAATTCCACACTGCTAAAGGTATCAGGCAGATACTGTCAAGAATGTTCCAGAAGCAATTCTTACATCAGTGATGATTATCGAAGCTCGCCCAACTGTGCACTCCGCTTTATGTACTTTGTCTCCTTTCATCTTCATGGCACCCTAAAAACTGGTATTCTGGGTACCAATTTGACCCTTGAGGAAACCAAGGTCCAGGGAGATAAAATAACTCCCCCAGCTCAACTAGATGGTAAATGGTGGAGCCAGAACTCAGAACCAGGCAGTCTGGCCCCAGAGCCCACGCCCATAGCCCTTGTGGCATACTGCTACTTAAAAATAACAATGGCAGCTACCATTTGTGTGGTGCTGGCTTTTACAGTCTGTCTCCCCGATGACCTCTATGGGCAAGAGCCAATAACATAATCCAGATGTTATTTCATAGTCCTAAAATTGGCTCTTACAAAAATCCTGTTGGAAATGTCGACCTAGTCTTGTCTCAGTTCTGCTTTACCACAGGCAGGTGATCTGTCTGCCTCAGATGACCCTGCCCCCTTAGTGAGTGACCCGGGACTGGCAGTGGAGGAGCTCCAGCTCAGAGAGCCTGTGCCATCGTCTCTGGGCTGCCCCATCGGAGGACCGCCCAGGGTGTAGTTCAGCTGTGCATCACTAACCCGTACCCTCTTCACCTCTACCTTTCCAGACCTCCCACTCCTGCCTCGTGTTCCAGCCCATCCTGTGGCCAGAGTACACATTCTGGAACCTCTGCGAGGCCATTCTGCAGTTCCAGACGAACCATAGCATGCTTCAGGTAAGAATTCAGGACTGGCCTGATTGGATAGGATGGAAATAAAGGTAAGCATTGGAGCCAACCAGTGATGTGGCTGGGGAAGCTGGATCCCACATGGCCAACTGTGCAGTGCAAGTCCCAGACCCAGTGGCTTGACAAACACTCCAGGGTGTGTGTGTGCCCAAAATCCTGAGAAGAGAACGGAAGAGAAGAAGTTGCAGCATGGCGACCCCCTAGGAGGTGCTTTCTCACTTTCCCTTTCTGTCTGTCTCTCTCTCTCCAGTGAGTACACGCATGCTGTATGAATTTTTAAAAAGTTAGCCTTATCTACTAGTGTCAACACTTCTTAGTAAGTGCCCTAATGATGATAGGAGCTGAGTATTTACTGTCGCATTTAATGTTCCCAAGAACCCAGAGGAAGAGACTTTATTAACCCCCACATCAAATGAGTAAGTGAGTTAGTCGAGGACAGATAACCAATAAAAGACAGTAGGGTTAAGCTATAAGGGCTGTGTGTGCGTGTGTCTGTCTGTCTGTGTGTGTCTGTCTCTTTTTTCTTTTTTGTGTTTTTTTTTTCTTTCCTTTTTGATTTAGAGTTTTTTAAAAAATTTACTACAAGTCTTTGAGCTCTTAAAGACCCATGGAAAGGCGTCTCAGAGATTAGCCATTATTCCTTGAAGATATTAGCCTAATAAAAGATTGTAACTGTGGAAGTGCACAAAATCCAGGCCTATTCCAGGAGGAATGAAAAACAAGATAACATTCTCTTAACGTTGTCTTTCTGTTGCGTAGAAACATGTTGTGCCAATGCTTGAAGTTCTGCTTTCAGTTGGTGTTTTTGGAGAGATTTTTGCTATAGGGTGCATGCACTCGCCAGAAAGAGAGACAGGGAGACAGAAAGTGAGAAATCACCCCCCAGGGGGGATGGCCACTTGGGATCTTGGGCACGCACGCATACATGCCTGGCGTGAGTTTAAGCCACCGGGTCCAGGACTCAAACCGTGGTCAGTTACATGGGAGTTCAGCAACATAGCCATTATGCTAACTGCTGATCCTGTTCTGCTTTCAATTTTGATCACCAGGTTTTGAAACTGGTTCCATTAGGAGACAGTTTTTGTCACCTGCCTCTGACTAGGACTCTCAGTGAGAATGGTGGTATGCGTGGTGGTGTCTGGTATGGCACTTGAATGATTCTGTTATTTTCTTATTTAAGCCTCCTGACAATCCAGTAAGCTTGGTGTCCTCGTTTTTTAGATATAGAAACAGAGAGACTAAGTAACTGCCCCAAGGCCACAGAACTGGGACCTGAAAAAGTCTTAGTTGGTGCTGCTTCTTGAGTCTGGAGTGACAATGGCCAGGAGGAAATGAGGATGTAAATCGGGGCTTCTCAGTCCCATTGGTATCAGAGTCCCTTTGGAAAATCTAATGCAAGTCAAAGACTTTCTCTTTTAAAAAATTGCAGACTGGGGACCAGCAGTTAGCGCAATGGCTGTGTTGCTGGACTCCCATGTAGTCGACCGCGGTTCAAGTCCCAGACCCGGTAGCTTAAACTCACGCCGGGCGCGTGTGCGTGCGTGCCCAAGATCCCGAGAGAAGAATGGAGGAGAGGAGATTGTGATGTGGCCATCCCCCCTGGGGGGTGATTTCTCGCTGTCTCTCTGTCTCTCTCTGTCTGGTGAGTGCACACGCCCTATACCAAAAAAAAAAAAAAATAAAGAAAACACAAAAAACAACAACATCAACAACAAAATTGCAGACTGGGCCAGCATGTGGTTTGGAAGTTAAGGTGCTAGATCCCATATGGCCGACTGTGCTGTTCAGAGTCCTGGACCCAGTGGCTTTCCGTGTGTGTGCATGCATGCCCAAAGTCCTGAAAGGAGACGAGGAGAAGGGATTGCAGCATGGCCATCCTCCCTGGGGGGTGATTTCTCACCTTCCTTCTCCCTCTTTCTTTCTGTGTCTCTGGAGAGTGCACATGTGCTATAGTAAAAAAAAAAAACTTTAAAAAGGAGAGTTGGGGACTGGAAGGTGACTTGGTGGTTAAAGCACTGGCCTCCCTCCACCGACCACAGTTCAAGTCCCAGACCTAGTAGCTTGGTTTCTCACTTTCCCTGTTGTCCCTCTCTCTGGTCAATTTAAAAATAATAATAAATAAAATGAAATAAACCTGGAACCAGCAGGTGGTGTGGTGGTTAAAGGCACTGGATTCCCACATGGCTGACAGCAGTTCGAGTCCCAAACCTGGCAGCTTGCTTTCTCACTTTCTTTCTGTCCCTCTCTGGGAAAATTTAAATTGAAATAAACAAATGAATAAATAAAGTCAAATTTTTAAAAATTAAATAACTCCTTTTTAAAACTTGCAGATCACAGGCCAGCAGGTGTCAGGGAGGTTAAGGCAACTGGATCTCACATGGCTGACCGCGTGGTTCAAGTCTGGGACCTAGTGGCTTGAAAAACATGCTGGGTGTGTGCACCTACATGCCCAAAATCCCGAGGAGAGTGGAGAAGAGATTGTGGCATAAGCATCCTCCCCAAGGGATGATTTTTCTTTTTTTTTTTTCTCTTTGTCTCTCTCTGGTGAGCACATGTACCCTAGAGCAAACTAAAAAAAAAAAATGCAGATCAAACGCATGGAATTTTGCATATATTGCACATTCTCACTCAAATACATAGAATACTTTCAGGGGGCTCATGTAACCCCTAAAACCTGACCACAGGTCCCAAGTCCAGAGCTCCTGTTAGAAGCCAATCAAATCATGAAGGTTTCATCATGTCTTTTATCAGTTTCCTCTCAGACTATGAGGAAATCGAAAGAAGTTTAGAACGAATGGAAAGAAAACCAGTAATTATCCACTATTAAACCTCCCAGTAAAAAACTTTTGTTACCTTTGTTTCTTACGGAAAACTTTCTGAAATGTACCTGGACGTAATTCCTCGACATCTGCTACATACCCAGCACTTGCCGATGGTGACGGGAATAACCACGATCTGACGGCGACTACTACCTCCAAGCACGTCACGACACAGCAGTGCCCTGTGCTCCAAGCTAGGTGGTCCCAGAGTACCTGGCTTTGAGATTCTTGTGTATGTCCCAGTGTCCTCCCTCTCTCATTACCTACTGCTTTCAATGGGTAATTTTATTTTTAAAAGAATTCTTTTATTTAACTTTAATTATTTATTTTAATTTGACCAGAGAGGGACAGAGCGAGAGAGAGAAAGAGAAATTGAGAAAGCAAGCCGCCAAGTCCAGGACTTGAACTGTGGTCGGCCATGTGGGAGTGCAGTGCCCTTAACCACCACGCCACCTGCTGGTCCCTATAATTTTATAGCACCCATTTACTGTTTTTAATCAGCTGTGGGTGAGGAAACCAATTAATCAAGCTTGTTAGAATGACGTGCATAGTGAGAGTGAGCTGGCTCCGCATGAAACCCAGAGGAGTCCGATGCATAAGCTTTTGTGTATGAGTATCCTTTAAAAAAAAAAAAAAAAGAAGAACTTTTTTTTTTAATTTGACGAGGTGGGGGGACAGAGAGAAAGCTGCCAGGTCCAGGACTCGAGCAATGGTTGGCCATGTGGGAGTCCAGCACCTTAACCACCACCCCACCTGCCACAGCCCCATGTATGAGTATTTTTCTCTCTCATTTGACTGCTTCGAAGCCTTTTACAGTAATTTCACGTTTCTCAGATACTTTGCGCATGGTTGTTAGAGAAGTTACTTCTATTCCTTCCATCAATATTTAGGGAATATCTACTACGAATCAGGCACTGTATGAAATACAGGAGAGTCAGCAGTTAACTGTTCAGACAGGTTCTACACCCTCATGGAGCTTATATTCGAAGTTAAAGAGATAAACAGTAAGTAAGAAAGCAAATACCTGAGATAGTTTCCAGTTTTATGTACCATGAAGACTCATAGAGTGGTGAGCCTGGGGGAGTGCGAGGACACTGAGGTTATAAAGTTTAGGTCTTGAACATAAACAGAGGTCAGCATGGGGGCCAGCAGGTGGCATGGTGCTTAAGGTGCTGGACACTCCCACGTGGCCAACCACTGTTCGAGTCCTGGACCCTGGTGGCTTGCTTTCTCACCTTCCCTCTCTCGCTCTGTGTCTCTCTGGTCAAATTTAAAAATAATAATAATAATAATAATAATAATAATAATAATAAGGAATAAATAAAATAAATAATTATTTAAAAAACAAAGGCCAGCATGACTGAGGGAGAAAGGCAGGGGGTGATGCTAGAGTAGAAGGCAGGCTGATTGCGCAGGGTCTTGGGGCCATGGCAGCAAACTAGAAGGATTTTAATCAGCGGAGTGACAGGATCTGATTTGCATTTTGTACAAATCACTTAAGCATTTCAGAGGACAGGAGTCAAAGCCAAGAGACCAAACTCCTGCAGTAGTCCAGGTGAGAGAGGGTACGCCTCAAGGTAGGGAGGTGGGGCCAGGAGGTGGCATAGTGGTTACATTGCTGGACTCCCACTTGACCGACTGTGGTTTGAGTCCCAGACCTGATGGCTTGAAAATCATGCCGGGCACATGGCATGTGGGCTTAAGATCCCAGGAGAAGGGGTTGTGGTGCAGCCATCACCCCCGGGGGGTAATTTCTCACTTTCCCTCTCACTGTCTGTCTCTCTCTCCAGCAAGTGCATGTCCCCTATGGCAAAAACTTCTTAAAAAACAAAAACAAAACAAGGTAGGGAAGTGCAGAGGGGAAGGGGTGCAGGTGGGAGCACAGACACGACAGAAATAGGGCTGACACCGCTGTGCAGCAGTTAGGTGTTGTGCGTGGGGAGCTGGACCCCACGTGGCCGGCCGCAGTCAAGTTCTGGCCCTGGGGACTTGCGTGATACAGGGGATGGAGAAAAGGAAGAAACGTCATTGTGGCAGGACCAGGCCACATTTGGGGGTGCTTTCTCTCTCTCTCCCCTTCTTTATCACATGCCCTGTGACAATAAAAAAAGGAAGAGAAGAAAACAGAAACAGATGAAACTTAGTATACCAAGGTGATAACATAGCCCC